CTCTTTATATATATATATATATATATATACAGGAACTGCCATGCAAGGTGCCACCTGCCAATCAGGACTAAACACATTCACACCTATTCTTACACCGATGGCATAGCAATCAGGAGCAAGGACACATGGGTCGACAGGGAGCGTTCCGCCGATTGGAAGACGACCCGCTCTACCTCTGAGCTGCAGTGTCTTTTTGTCTGACGTGTCAGCTGTGGAGATGATTTTCCCCTTGATGAAAATAAACTCTAAAGTGTAACCATGTCATGTGAGATGCTACATCAGTACACTTTCAAAACAAATATTACAGTTACCATTGCAGAAAATTGCATTTTATATGTAACACAATTTATCACATTGACTGAACACGGTCAAACCACATACAATGTTTTGACCTAGTTTTGTTATGATTCAGTTGTTAAACAAGGTCTATAATGTGCTTATCAACAAAATGACTATATTACTGTGGGGAACTATGAAGGCTCTGCCTCTCCCACCAGTATCCCTGACTGAAGGAATATTTGACCAGTAGAGTAGAAAGGAGTCCCCTGGCTGTGATGGCAGCAGCACATTAAACATAGATCACAAAGAAAAAATACTTAAGATATGATGATGATGACAGTAATAGAACAGAAATGTACAAAAAAAAGACTATTAGAGATAGGATGCTTTGATAAGGAAGTAGGTGGCCAACAGTGGGACAGAAATATGCATAAAGGGAAGTGAGTAAGGATTAGGTAATGGTTGATGAGATGCAGACATACATTTTGGAGCTGGTTGTAAATTGGTGGATCTTAATGCTGCTGCAAGTGTCTGTGTTCCCTCTCTGTCTAGAGAGTCATGAGAGATCCTTCTCTTCCTCTCATAGGTTTTGGAATACGAGCGTGATTACATGTGCGCAAAGTGTCGTCATATCTTCACTGTGCAGGCTGATTTTGACCAGTTCTACATCTTTGTCCCGCCGGTGGCTTGTCCTAATCCTGATGGCTGTAATTCGTTGAAATTCAGCTGTCTGTCTGGAGGATCTCAGCCTGCTGCCTGCAGGGACTTCCAGGAGATCAAGATACAAGAGCAGGTAGGACAGTTATGCATGTGTTATTGTTCATTTGCAGGGTGTGTACGGATTTAACGTTTGGTCAGTGTAAATCTCTCTCCTCCCCACCACACACACACAGGTGCAGAGGCTGTCAGTGGGCAGTATTCCTCGCGCTATGCTGGTGGTTCTGGAGGACGACCTTGTCGACAGTTGTAAATCTGGTAAGAACTGTAAATAGTTAGCTTTGTTAACAGTAACACATATAACCAGCTTCTCCAAATGTATGCACATGTGTACCCAAGCAAACGGAAGGCTTTGTCATTATATTGACTGCCAGTGATGACCCAGTCACATCACCAACTGCCTTAAAGTGATCAGAGACAGAACCTTCTGATATATCATTTCCACTTTTCTAGTACAACAATGTGTTTAGTAAATTAAAATTACTAAATTAAACACTGTTCACATGTCTGTGACAAAATACACTCTAGGTCCTGTATGCTGATGTGGGACAAAGCAATGTTGCAGCATGAAGTTTGAAATTTAATTTGAAACCACCGTATGATGGCGCAGTGTGCAATGCCATGCTTATACGGTAGCTTTCAGTAACTGAAACATTAAATCTATGGGGTGCTCCTAATAGATGATGTAACTGTTTATGGGGTGCTCCTA